AAATAGCGACCAACTTTGGTCGCTATTTCTAAAAATTCAAAACTGATTTAGCTACCAAAATAGCGACCATGGTGGGTCGCTATTTTTAATTTCAGTACTGTCAAAAGCGGGAAACCCCTCCCATTCTTTCTAAAAATTTCCCCAAAATCTCTCTTTTCTCTCTCACACTCAACCACCCCCCCCCCTTCCGACTCCGAGCACCAGATCCCACCCACGCCACCAACGACCACCAACGACCACCGCCTAGCTGCCGTCGCGCCGTCGCCGCTGCCGCTGCTGCGTCTCTTTCCTTCTCCACCTGCTAAAAATTCTAGGTTAGAATTACAATTTATATCTTTTGTGTATAAATATAATATTTTGTTTATTAGCTAGGAATTAGTTTCAATTGATTAGTGTTTCAATTGATTATTTAACATTGTATTTTATAGAAATCTAGGGTTTAGGTTGTATTTAACATTATTTAACATTTTATAGAAATCTAGGGTTTATAGAAATGTTAACATTGTATTTAACATTATTAACATTTTATAGAAATCTAGAGTTTAGGGTATGGGTTGAATTTTTAGGATATAATCATAACTTTTAGTTTATGTTTAAACTCGTAGGATATAAATTGAACTTTTAGTTTATGTTTAAACTCGTATGATATGAATTGAACTTTTAGTTTTTAGGTTTTGTTCTTGTGAATTGAACTTGTAGGATATGAATTGAACCTTTAGGATATGACTTGAACTTTTGTGGATATGAATTGAACCTTTAGGATATGAATTGAAATTTTGGTTTATGTTTTGGAATTTTAGATTATAAATTGAAATTTTAGGATATGATTTGAACTTTTTAGGATATAAATTGAAATTTTAGGATATGACTTGAACTTTTTAGAATATGACTTGAACCTTTAGGATATGATTAGAACCTTTAGGAAATGAATTGGAATTTTAGTTTATGAATTGGAATTTTAGGATATGACTTGAAATTTTAGGATATGAATTGAACCCTTAGGATATGACTTGAACCTTTAGGATATGAATTGGAATTTTAGTTTATGAATTTATTTTATTTGAACCTTTAGGATATGAATTGGGATTTTAGTTTACGAATTGGAATTTTAGGATGTGACTTGAAATTTTAGGATATGAATTGAACCTTTAGGATATGACTAGAACCTTTAGGATATGAATTGGAATTTTTAGTTTATGAATTGGAATTTTAGATTATAAATTGAAATTTTAGGATATAACTTGAAATTTTAGGTATGAAGTGAAATTTTAGATTACAAATTTGAAATTTTAGGTTGCGGGAGGAACCGTCGTTCGGATATGAATTGAACCTTTAGGATATGAATTCAACATTTAGGATATGAATTGGACTTTTAGTTTATGAATTGAAATTTTAGATTATAAATCAAAATTTTTTGGATATGAGTTGAACCTTTAGGATATGAATTAAAATTTTGGTTTATGTATTGGAATTTTAGATCGCGGGAGGATTTTGTAGAAGGGGTTGATGACTTTATTATACATGCAATGGAACTTCCACCAAGAATAACTAAGACACAGTACCTGGCAGAGTGTGCCTTTAATTGTTCTTCCCATTAGCGACAACGATGATGAGAAGGCAAGAACATGTGTTTCAAATAGTTATGGTGTAGGTAGGAGTTCAACATTTCCTAAGTAGATAAAAGAAGAGGTAATAGAGGAATTCTATACTTTATTTTCCAAGAGGAAAAGGAGTTTAATTGGGAGTGACAAGGTTGATGGTGATGGAATGTTTTCCGTTGGTCATGGCAGTTCCCATAAAACGGGGATCATAAGACTCTATGATGACAAAGATTATAGGAAGTTTTGTTCTCAACTTTCTTCCAAGTCTGATTCGTACAAGCTTAATGGGATATTGGTGATATTTCTTCGGATTCAGACAATGATTTGGTGATCAGTCAAATCATTGTCTGAATCCGAAGAAATATCACCAACATCCCATTAAGCTTGTACGGATCAGACTTGGAAGAAAGTTGAGAACAAAACTTCCTATAATCTTTG